ATTTATAGTAGTCAAAACTAGTAATCAATCTAATCTACTAGAGTAAGTAAATTGCAGTATGCTCATGTTAAGGAGCCCTGGTGGCATAGTGGTTACATATTGAGCTGCGATCTATAAGGTCAGCAGTTTGAAACCACCAGCCGTTCCTCAGGGGATAAAGATGGGACTTTCTACTCCTGTAAAGATTATAATCTAAGAAACCCACAACCTTTTTAGAGTATTGAAAAGCAAGGGTGCTTCTTGAGGTCTAGTTGGGCCTGACCCAAGCCACGGCATCTTCAATTGCCTCACAGGCATGTGAAAGTTGGACAGTAACTAAGGAAGAGCCAAGAGGAATTGATTCGTTTGAACTGCGGTGCTGGAGAAGAATATTGCAAGTACCATGGAGTGCCCAAAGTACAAACAAATCTGTCTTGGACGTGCAGACAGATTTGTTCATCCTTGCTCTTGAGAAGCAAGGATGGCCAGACTTCGTGTTACATAGTTTGGACATGTTGTCAGGAGAGACCAGTCCTTTGAGAAAGATATCATCTTTGGCAAAGTAGAGGGGCAGTGACAACGCAGTGACAAAGAGGCAGACTCCAAAGGGAACGATTGACGCGCCAACAATGGGCTTAAGCATGGGAACGCGCTTACGAGGCTGGTGCAGGACTGGGAAGTGCTTCATTGTGTTGTGCATAAGGTAGCTATGGGTCGGGAACCAACTTGATGACCCCTAATAACAACAACACTGTGCATGTTCTAGAATACTATGTAATAATGAAAAAGTCAGCTACTTTGTATCATTTTCTAAGCGAGGCAGAATTAATTGCTGTCACAAGTTAGGGCAGTGGCTCTTTTCAGAGAAGGAAAGAAGTCGGGAGGGAGCAGAAGGGTTCTCTGAATGCCAGCGCTTTTCTATTCCTTGGCATTAGTGACTTTGTGGAAATAAAAACTAACATACATATATGTCCTTTATGGGGCTTTAATTGTAATAACTGCCAAACCGCAAAAATATGAAGCAAAATTGAAGTCAATAATTTATTCTAATATACCTTTCTAATCAATATTATTCAACTTGTTTCTCTTATTTCTTATCATATAGCTTTCAGTTCAGTTATACTGCTATGAAATGCCTTATACTCCAGTTTCCACCTGAACTGACGAAAATGATTTCATTCAGAAGTACTAGAAATTAAATGAGAAATTTCTGTAATGACCTTAGATCATGATGTGGTTGAGCCAAGACCTTTAACTACACTGTTTTTGTTCTCCGGTTCTCTGACATACCAGGTACTTGAAAATGGGAAGTCTCTTAGTCCAAGTATCTATTGGTGATCTCAATATCTATGTAGGCTCAATTATGAAGCCTATTGGAACTTGAATAAGAGACTCCTCAGGAAGGAGAGGCTCATGACTAGATGGGGCCAGGGTTAAGAGTCTGATAGTGTTGTGAGATGCTCCTGAGGTTGGTAGACAGCAGTCAAAATGACAGTGATATAATTATTTGGGCTCTCAATGGGTGAATACTAATATCTGAGAAGATGGGTTATGACTGTCAAGATGTATAGTGAGTTCTTATATCATGTAATTGCTGTAGGCATAAGTATTGTGGTTCTATGTAGCTTTCTCTGTAATACAAAGCATTAGTCAGTCACTGGTGGACACCGAGTGTATGTACAGAATACCCAGAGAGGAATAAAAACTGCAGATGGTGTTGGCCAAGTGGATTCAGTTGGTGGTCAGGGCTTCAATCCAAGTGTACAAGCAAGAAGAATCTAGAGCGCGGGCAATGGTACTGGAGATTATGGAGACCAGGCACAGGTACAAGGGTATGCGTCTAGTCTAAAGATTTGGCAACAGTGGAATTTTGTTGCATTGTTAGGTGCCATTAAGTTGGCTCCATCTCCCAGCAACCCCGAACTCCCGGTCCTGCCCCATCCCCACAACAGTTGCTCTGTTTGAGCTCATTTTTGCAGCCCCAGTGCCAATCTAGCTCCTGGAGGGGTTTCCTCTTTTCCCCTGACTCTCCACTAAGCATGGTGTCCTCACTCCCTCCTGACAACATATCCTTGTTTCTGAGGAGCATCCTGGCCGTACTTTCTCTAAGACAGATTTGTGTGTTCTTCTAGTCCACAGTACTTTGAAAATTCTTTGACCACACCCTTGTTCAAGTGCAGCAACTTTCCTGGGGCCTTCCTTATTTTCACATGCCTAGGAGGCAATTGAAAGTACTATGACTTGGATCAGGCACACCTGGGTCTGTTGTTTAATTGGCAGCTGTTTAATTTTAAAGAGGTCTTATACAGCAGATTTGCCCAGTACAATACATCATGTGATCCCTTGACTGCTACTTCCATAAGCAACATGGATTTAAAACTTCAGTATTCATAAAAATCATTTGGAGAACTTATAAAAAACATAGGTTCCTGGGTTATACCCTATGGAATTATGACTCAGAAAGTACATTTAACAAGCTCTCAGGTGAAATGCCACTTTAAGACAACAGTTAAATGAATAGAAACCCTGCTTGTACAGTAGCTAGACCATTTGGTTACTAAACAAAAGGTCAACATTTTGAACCTGTCACCATCCCATAGGAGATAAATGTATGTTCCATACAGATCGATAGTCCTGGAAGCCTATGGGACAGTTTTGTTCTGTGCTGGAGAGAGCTATGAGTTGGAGTCAACTGGAAGGCAATCGGTTTTGGTTTGGTTTGGTTTGGTAAAGTTGGCAAATGGAGCAAGCTTAATTCTAGGCCTCACCTACCAATGAGGCAGAACTATTAGCAGATGGTGCTTGTCTTGGTCAGCTGCAGTATCGAGACTTCGTGTGTGCTGAACACACAGAGGATGGCACCCGTTTCGACTGTGCAAGGTAGTGAATGGTAGCAGTGCATCTACTTTCTACTGCCCTTTGAACAAGCAGGTGGAAGCCCTGCCCCTGTGAGTGTCACCTGCTCCTAGAAGTTGCCTATGAAGTTTCTCCCAACAGGTTGCTGGCATTCTTAGAAAACTTTACTGAAGACTTTGAAGATAAGTGGTTTTCAACCAAGGGCAATGTTGCCTACATTTAACCACACTTGAATGAAGTTTCTGGTTGTTGTGATTGGGCAGGATGGAAAGGGGGTGAGGTTGTTGCTTGGAGCTAGTGGGTGGCCAGAGATGCTGCTAACTAGGAATATGGGGGTTTTCACTTGATTTTGAATCCGGTTAAACTGGGCATTGTAAGCAAAGCAATCTTAAATTAAGGTTATACATGTTCAGGCATCCTAAAATAAAAGAAGCATACATCCTAGAAATAAAACCAAAATTCCTGTAAGCTAAATAAAATAGAGAGGCAATTAAGAAGGCAAGGAAAAAAGGCAGGCATTATGCAGGAAGAAGAGGTTCAAGTGAGTCCCTTCAGTAGAATTCCAAAGAGAAGCTTTGAGAAAAGGGAATCTTCCATCTCTGAATTCTTGTGGGGGGGGGTTCCTAGTCTCAACTAACAGTAACCCCAATAACCTTTTCTAGCTATTTGTCCTCCCAGTCACGTGTCTGAATTACATGAGTAGACGTCTACCCATTTTTGCTTCCAAGGAACATCCTTGTTGTATTTCTTCCAAGACTGATTTGTTCATTCTTCAGCAGTCTATGGTGTATTTTATTTTTTGCTACTATCAAAATTTGAACACATCCGTTCTTCTTGTTTTCCTTCTGCACTCTCCAACTTTCGCATGCTTCTGTCGAAATGGTTTGGGCCTTAGTCATTGAAGTGCCCCTTGGATGACTAGATAGGCATGAAAGTAGAAATCTATGAGGGATTTCCATTTCTCAAAGGACAGAAGTTCAAACACAGAGCATTCACCACCACCCCCAGCATTCCGCTTCCCCCCGCCCCCACCCACATGTAGCTATTACCAGGTGCTAAAATCTTACAAAGATGAGAGAGACAAAATGCCCAAGTTACAAGGTCATCCTGTTGACCTTTAGAGGACAAAAATAGATTTGTAAGTTAAAAAGTGGCTCAGAATAAGTAATTATTCTATGTGAATCGGCTTATACATTAGATGAAGTTCATGTTATTATGTTTTCCCTCTAAGGTACAGGAATCAATCGCTTCATCTTAACTTCTGGAACGTCTATTCCGAGTGTAAACTAGGTAATTGAGAAAGATACAGTGTTTTTTAAGTGGGCATCAGATTCCCAGGAAGTAGTGTTTAATAAATACAAGTAGAATGCACATGTCCTGTAGCCAATTTTTAAAACTTGGAAAAAATATCTTTGCTAAACAATGATCTGTGAGCATGGCTTCCCTTCATGTGAAATAATGTTATGAATGTTAATGCTCTGTCACATTCTTAGAGTGAAAATTGAAAATTGATACAGTTACTTTAATGCAGACAGAACTATGCTCATTATTCCCTGCACAAAACCTCTGGCAATAATTTACCCAGGAGCACCGTGGTTCATGCAGATCAAAGCTGCATTATTTAAGCGTGTCCAGGGGGCAGGTTTTAACTCTGTGCCTTATACTTTAAAGGTGTGTGTGTGGAGGTGGGGGGGCCTGGGGGGATGGGGATAGTTTGCTTCTTGAGAGACAAAATGTGATTAACTTAATGCAAGTCCGACAATCTTTAAACTCACAAGAATTCCTGCCATATCTGGGAAGAATCCCCTTTTCCACCTCCCATACTCTCAAGTCTGCAGGGAATGCAAAACAACTGTGGGAATGTCAATCTCTTCAAACACACAGCAGTATATTTTCATTTAAATTAATCCCGAATGTGAGCTCGATTTCAGAAAGGAAACGCAGAGGAGAGAGTTTGAAGTTGCTGTAGAATGTGCCTGGCTGCTTCAGCTCGCAGACAAGTGATGAAGTCCAATGCTGAAATTGCAGGCAATTTGTATACCAGGCTCCTCCTTTGCTGCAGCCTTCCCTTCCATTGGTAAGATTCTTTTGCAGGGTCATGTAGGGATCCCACCCCTTCTCTCTGTTTTCACTCTGAAGCTCTCCACAACTTTACACCTGAACGAGTGCCAAACCTCTGTGCATATATAAGTGGAACCTTGAGCAGGAATTTCACAGTTACAGTGCTGAGGCAGAAGGGAAGGAATTAACCAGCTCTTTAGCCAAGCAAATCCACGACTCACCATGCTTCCTGCTGCCATTCATTTCTCTCTCATCCCCCTTGCATGCATCCTCATGAAAAGCTGTTTGGCTTTTAAAAACGATGCCACAGAAATCCTTTATTCACATGTGGGAAAACCTGTTCCGGCAAACCCCGGCAGCAACAGCACGTTGAATCAAGCCAGAAATGGAGGCAGGCATTTCAGTAACTCTGGAGTGGACCGGAACAGTAAGTGTTGGACAGATTTTTTTTGTTGGGGGGAGGGGGGGGTGTCCGTCTGTTGGACTGCATTAACTCGCCTTCCTGTAGAACGGTTTGATTACTAACTAACCTGAACTGTCTGTACTTTGCTAAACCATCTGAGAGTAATCTGCTGCCTCTGTCGATGGCATTTTCCCCGAGGTGGTGGTTTTAAAGTTAACGTAACTATCAAAGCGATTTGATAATGCCCTCCCTGACTTAAGTTCTAGCCAACCTCCCAAACAATTATATTCAGGCGTCAGTGAGAATTTTAGAAAGCATACATCTGGAGGTGTTAAGTTCTGTTTGTGTTACTCAGTTTATTTCAGGGCAGGGGTAATTCTCAGGGGGAAAATGTCAAGGTAAAGAATTAAGTACATATAAGAAAGTACAAGGTGCGAAGGAAAACTTCCGGGGGGAAAAAGGAGAGATTGCTCACAGGGATTTCTGAACTATGTCCAGTGGGGTAGACTTTTGATGATCTAGGTAAAAGAGAGTTAAAACTAAAAATGCTGGAGGATCATATATTTTTCAGACACTTTCTCATTAGCCATTTCAAAGTTTAGGTATTGTATATGCCACGGAACACTGGGCTCAATGTCATCATTTTAGATCTTAGAAAGCACAAACAGCACAATAATGCTTGAGGCAGGAAGCTTTCCACCTCCCTCCTTTGGTTCCCATCTCTGCTTGCCTAATTGATAAACTAATTGGCCGGTTGTTAGGGGGATTCAAATTTCTGCTCTTAACTTTTGCTTCCTGCTCTGCCTTGCCTTTGGAAGAAATCGTATGCTAATAATCAGCTTTTAAAAGAGACCTCGAGACTGAGTGAATAGGAAATCTTAAACAGATTTCTCTGCCCCTCCTCCATTTAATGAGTCCAAGTGGTTTTGACCTTTGAAAAGTCAAAGCAAATATGACTGCTAATGTCTTTCTAAGGAAACTAAGATGTTTTAACCTTCCTGAAGAGGGTTGGCATGAAAAGGACACAGGAAATATCTCTCTGATGCTCACTGGCTTACTGAGCGATGCAGCGGGTATTCATTGTCAATGAACTGTCACTGCAGAACTGCTGAATCGGTACATACAGGGGAACAAAAAGCTAGACAAGTCAAGATCATCTCCAGCTGCTTGCAGGCGCGTTCCTGGCAGCTGCAGGAAGGGAACCCAGAATCTGAATCAGACAGGTCGGCCACACCAGCCGGTCAACTAGCGCACCTTCTACATGTCAAACTCCGAATCTGTGTGGTTCTACAGATTGGGCTGCTAGCCACAGACGGGGTCAGAGACCCCAAGTCGTGTGCAGGGGACAGCTAAAGGCTTTCCAGTCTGGGAAAGAGCTCGAACAGTCTGAAACCACAGGGTCGATATGAGTAGGGATCGACCCGGGCTTGGGGTCAGTGAGTTTGGTTTTAGTTTATATCCCTATGGATGTTTGCAAATACACATATATTTTTCAAAACCATCATAGTCTCTTTAGGCTGCACCTCAGAAATGGTGGGCAGAGAGAAAGGGGGAACCTCTGAATTCAGTGTCTACTCTCACTAAGCCTTCAGTGCTCCAGGAAGGACTGCTCCAAGATCTCTCACAGTTTCCTTTCAACAGCATAGACTCTTTAACTCCCTCTCTTTCCCTTTCACAAGTCCTGGTTTCTTCTCGCGCGTTGTAACAAGCAATTTTCCTCAAGTTTAGGAAGCAAAACAGTGGTAAAAGCAACTTCACATATTTCAAAGTTAATTTTTGCTTGAATTACATTAGGCCTGTCTGAAGGAACAAGCGAGTAGAGAACATGCTAATCAAATCCAAAATAAGTAAACAAAAAGTTTGCCTGAACAATACTGAGGAAATGAACACTGAGGCTCCTTTGGCAAGTGTAAGTCAGACTTGCTAGGCATTTCTCTGCCGGAAAATGCATGGAAAGGTCTCCAAGTTGTTATGGCAACCATACGTTCCTGATTTAGGTTACTTGTGTGTTCATTAAATATTGAGTCATAGTGGCATTTTTCATCATAAACATTTTGCTATTTGTGTTTTTTAAAAGATAGCCTGGGAATTGAGGTGTAAGATGTAGTTGTGAATTTTGAGAGGCAAAATGTCAGACTCAGTACATATGTGTATGTGCTACTCTCTCTGCAGCCGAATTCTATAATGGAAAGAAATATTACAACATGCATATGCAGTGTAGACAGTATTTAAATACTTTCCACATTTTCTTGCATTATTTTAAAAAAGAAAAGGTTATTGAAGACGTTAATAATATGACCCTTGAGCACATTAAAGTGTATTCCTTTTAGGATGAATATTTACATATGAGAGCTGATTAACCCTTATTATGGAAGGAGGCCAAAAAAAAAAAGGATTTTCAAATGTTTCAATAAGCAATTAGCTATGCAACACCTTAAAAAACAAAAGCAAAGGCCAAGAGTTTGGCCCCCTAAGAAAAGTGATAACCATATAAACTGATGACGTTCTTGAAAGAGTCCCCACAACTATCCAGGAGACCTTGAAGCTCACCCTCCCCAGCCCCCACCCCCCAAAAAGGGGTTTACTTTCTAGTTGGCAATATGTTGTCATTTGAATATTGTGTATCATTGGTTAAATAATAGATTATTTTAAAGCTTATTTGCCATTCAGGGTAGTATTCTTTTAAAAGCTTCTGTTTGCTTTTAATTTTCTGATGCACATGTTTCACTGTTGGTTGCAGCTCCGGTTCAAGTGGGTTGCCGTGAACTTCGTTCTACCAAATACATCTCCGATGGCCAGTGCACTAGCATCAGCCCTTTAAAGGAGCTGGTGTGTGCCGGCGAGTGCTTGCCCCTGCCAGTGCTCCCCAACTGGATTGGGGGAGGTTATGGACCCAAGTATTGGAGCAGGCGGAGCTCCCAGGAGTGGAGGTGTGTCAATGACAAAACACGCACCCAGAGGATCCAGCTGCAGTGCCAAGATGGCAGCGCGCGCACCTACAAAATCACGGTGGTCACAGCCTGCAAGTGCAAAAGGTACACCCGGCAGCACAATGAGTCCAGTCACAACTTCAAGAGCTTGCCGCCTGCCAAGCCAGCGCAGCATCACAGAGAGAGGAAACGAGCCAGCAAAGCCAGCAAGCACAGCGTGAGTTAGAACTCAGACTCTCAGAAGTGGACTGACACTGAGCACTACCTGCTTCACACATCTGATTGCTTGGACGACTCCAGCCTGCCATTGCTTTTTCTCACTTGAAAATGTATGCTTTCTGCTTTGATCACATCCAGCAAGCTGTCCTACGTGTCAGGACCATCTTTGGGAATCGCTTTTTTCCTTTTCAAGTTTTGCAAGGTGTACCTATATCCATGCATGCAATTGCGTTTAAACCCACACATCCTGTTGTTTTAATCCCCCCAGTGCTTCTTACAAGACTGGTTATTACATATATATATATATACACATATATCAATGACTCATTATACTTTGAAACCAAAAAGGATCTGTCAATGACCAGCCACCTCCCAAATCCCCCACATAAACATCCAAATAAAAGCCCCTTCAAATCTAAAAACAAATTAATGGTTGCTATGAATCTTCTCAAAAACACCTCAGAGAGGTGCTCCCCCCCACCACACCCCCCCTTTGGTAATGTTCATGAGAATAGTTTAGAAGCCAGGAGTGACCTTCCTTTGAAAGAAAGTTAAAGACCTTGGCATTTCACTTCAAAAACAAGCCCTGTGGCTTTTTACAGTGTCATGGTATGAAATTATACCCTGCATGCTGACCCTCACTTGTAATGGAATGCCAAAAATGCATGGCAGCAGCTAATAGGTAAAACTGATTAACTATTTATTTGTCAATGTTATTATTTAATGACCTTTCATGTGATTTTTTTCAACATGTTAATTTTTTATGTCTTAAAGCTTTTTCTTGTGCCTAAATGTTTTCCTACATGACTTGTGGTTGCTCTAGAAATATGAGAATACATTTTGTAGATATGTAAAATAAATATTGTAGTCTCCTTGTAATACATGTTTCATCGTGAACTATATCAATAACATGGCTCTTTATAAATCAGCAAGATGCTTTGTAAAGCTGAAATATATAATGCTTCCTGTTTAATCTGTGCAATCAGAAGGTGACTTTACCTTCAATTTCAATGATTTCTTTAAAAAAATAAACACTGCTGAAAGTTATTTTCCTTGCTTCTAATATACATACAAAGGTACATGTCTTCAAAAATTCTAGAATGAATTTACAAGAGGAATTGATACATTCAGTAAGTCCCATTAAGTTTTGGGTCTTAACTTAATGGTAGTAAGAAGTTTCTGTAGTAAGAGAGGATAAACAGAAAGGATGCCTATCCATTGAGAAAATGGATCATTGAAACAGTTGGATGGAAATTCAACGTCGAGTTAGAACAAGAATTTCAGGTTTATATTTACCAGTGAATGCCAAGTCAGTTGTATTACAATCACCCCAGGAGATTTTATAAAACCCACTGAGCAGATTGCATCAATATGAATTATATCTGAATCTCTGAGTGTAGAACTCAAAATCAGTAATGTTCTACAGTTTCTCAGTTGTGGTGTGATGAACTGCTTTTATGAGTATATAGTCTTTCAAACCATGATTGGGTGGGACTATGAAAATACGGTGCATGTGACCCACCTAGGGGACTTCAATACTGCGAATACAGTGCATAGGATCCGTAGGGGGTGGGGCCATGCAAATATGGTCTATAAAATGCTAACAAAAGGATTGGTCAGGTTTGCTATCCAATTAGGCAAAAATGAATCATTACAGATTCAGAAAGGGAGACCTCACTATCATCAGTAAAGAAGAGCAAGGAGTGGAGTATGTGCTTCGGACCTGCGATTCCTGCTTTGAGAATTTCCTGGACCCAGGAGACAGACAAAACTGTGGTTAGAATCAGTGGCAGAGAAATTGTTAGAGCAGAACCAGGAGGCTGGCATGAGACAACACAGTGGGCTTCTTGCCTCGTTGAGCAAGTGCTGTGCAGTCCCTTGGGGTGAGAACGGCGGAACACATTCCAGCAGGAAGCTTCCTGGCAGAATGAGCTACCTCTGAACACTTACTGGCAGAACTCTAAAGACCTTTGTAACACTCACCCAAATAGGAGAGGGGCTGGACTGTCCCAAGAGGCCCAAAGGTCCAATGATTCAAGGTCCAAGGGGCTGTGGGCATGGCTGGGGAGCTGTTCTGATTGAAGATCTGTAGCCTCAGTTATTCCTGATCCTGAATTTAAACTGCTACTTGCCTAATAAATCCCAGAATCATGAGTATTGTCTGTGGGCTCAATGTGACTATTGCAGCAAATGATCAAACCCAGCAAAGAAGCAGTGAGTATTATGGGAGGGATGGCTGTTTTCAGAATAGGTAAAAATAAAAAAATTTTTTTAAGTTTGTAGAGTGTTAGATCTCCACCTCATAGCCATTATGTTTTGATTTGTGGATGCTAATAATTCTCCTCTCCCCTTTTTTGACGTTAGATCAGAAGGTCTGACACTACTGCCATGCCATTTTGATATCAGGTGATTTCAACATGGATAAAGACATTGAGAAGAAATTTATATCTTATGATGAAGAACAAAGGTTAGAAAAAACCAAAACACTAATTATTCACTATGTTCAATTTTTCCATGTAACTATCTTAAACAACATATTCACATTCTTGAATCAGATAGAATGATTATTGAGTTCATCATTCCAAATAAAGAGTATAAGAGGCTTGCTTATGTATTCATAATATTTCTAGGCTATGGGTGAATCTTTATTGCTCTTCTTGATAAGAGGTTGTTCATGTCATTATAAGTCTAGGAGTAACATGTATATTATATAGTATACTAACCTATGTAAATATATAATTTTCCTTTCCTATAAGAAGCAAAAGACTTTTAAAGTATAAAGACAAGAAAACATCTCTAGATTTTATAATATGAGTGTATAATCAGATAAAGGAAAATACCTAATTCACTCTTAATTTACATGCCATTCAAAACCTTAAGCTAGTTCATAAGGAGACATTAAAATTAATGTCATAATTTGGCTCTACCAAATACTTATTGATTTGTCAATCAATCTTATTTATTCATCCTCAGTATGGTATATTTCAGTAGCATAGAAAATAAAAGACACTACAGCCATTTCTTCCTCTCCAATAGCACAGTACCTTCAACAGAAGGCCTTAGAAATGGTCTCAAAGATGAAAGAGTGTCCTAAGTGCTGTGTATCTGAATCACCAAGATGACTTTATCCTCACAGAAACTTTACAGTTCAGAAGACTGTGTTGTTTCCTTTTATTAATGAAACCCTGAAATAAATATTTTGTTAACAGTTAAGTTATCCCTGATTTGATCACTTGTAGGATATTAGCAAAGGCTTCAAGAATGTACAAGGCATCATCAGTGAGTTAGTTAATTGTGCCAGCCTGGCCAATAATCACATGTGGTGCTGGTTGAAAGGCGGAGGGATAAATGGGTGGTGAGGCTTGGCCTTTCTAGTTCTTGGGTCTCTTGTTTTGTGATGGTTGCATCGGGTGCAGCTGCCTTAGCAGTTCCCTGCTTCAGCTTGCAAGATGGATTTCCTACAAGACATCCCCAAGGAGAAGCCGCATGGATCTATCCCTATGCAGCCCTGGGTGCTGGAGCAGCCGTGTGGAGACCCGTGCCAGTGCTGAGATGCTTACACGTTCACTGACTCAGCTTTCCTCCTGCAGTCGGCATTATTGCCTCTGTTTTGTGAGGTGAAGGACTTTGTGGACTGGTGTTGGGTTAATGGGTTAATGTTGGACTTGTGGGCTTGGGCAGCATTGGGTTGGGATGTTTTCGTGATGCACATTTTCTTTGCATAAAACTCTCTCTTATGCGTGAGTTGCTGTGGATTTGTTTCTCCAAAGTACCCAGACTAATACAATCAGCTTCTCTGCCACCAAGGCTCAAGTAGAAAGAAAAGGTTTTGGAAATGTTGATGGCAACATATGTACAAGTGTGCTTAATACCATTGAATGATAGATTCTTAGAAGATTTGTAAAATCCCCCCAATAAAATAATTAACAACAACATAAAGGAACATACAAGGAAAAATAAAATAGAATAATGAAGCTTATAAATGACATTTCTCTTGTTTCTACTAAATTGAAAATTGGATCGATTTCTCATGGTCACATTTAATTTTATGATCTATTTCAGGCCATGTTATAACAGAGGTTCATTCATTGCTTGGTATTTGACATCAAATGATAGGAAAAGGTCCCCAATCAATATGAAAGTCCTGGGATAAAAATCGGGCTATCAATGAAGCAAAACTTCAGAGTCAACTGAAGGAGAAGGTTTTCAGTTAGTATTTTCAAATGTTGAAAAATCACTGATATCTGAATTACCAGTTATATCCTAAATAATATTATTCACATATCCAAATATGATTTAGGTATGCATAATTTTACTATATCACTAATAATTAGCACTTTAAAGTGATGAATTACGATAATTGTTTTAGCAGGGATTGACTTCTAGTTAACATTCATGATATTTATCCATGAAAAGTTTGCCTATCAAATTAATTTTGGATACTAAGGATACAGAGAATTTTTCAAGTGGTTTTATAACTAAATATAGATATATTGGTCTATACTACATAGGATATCTAGAACCGAAACATAGATTAGGGAGCTTCAAAAATTTCACAGAAGTTGTATTTTTTTTAAAAATCTGTTTTTTCCACACACTTTTTGAAGCCCCATTCATATGCATGTGTATGCATAGCAAGATTGGGAGGTATATGAAAAGCCCTTTTATGAGTCAAAAATATCCATAGAATACTCATTCTAAGCTAAATATTGACATGGAACCTTTAAAAATAGTTATTTGCAAAATAAACTGAATATAATAAATATACATTATAATATTCATTTATGCTAATTACCAATAATCTCGTTTAGCAATCTGTTAGCCATATTTATGTTACTATATATGTTTGAAAATCAGTGACAATCTTGAGTTGTATTTTCTAACTAAAAGACTAAACCTAAATCCATTCTAGTGGTATATAAATTACAAAAATTTTACCAATGGCTGTTATCTACAAAACTACTGCTAAAAACTTACTAAGCTACTAGAATAATTTTTTAAATTATTTAATGCAATTTGTGTATTAAACATGTTTACATTATCAGAGAGTGAGTGAAATGGTGCGATTGAGTAGACAGAATAATATTTAGAAGTTGCAGTAGTTATATAATCATTTGTCAATTTGAGGATTAAGAATGTAGGGGTGGAGTCTAACCTGTCAATCAGATCATAGCCAATGAAGCTTCCATGTGGGATGGCCTTCTCCTGAGAATTCTGGAAAACCTGATACTTCCTCCTTGGAGGCAGGCGACACTTTTCTCTCTCTCTGCCACTTCCTGGGAGTCATTGTAGCTGACAAGACACATGGAACTATGCTAGTGCCCTAAGTTGGAGAAGCAACATGGACCTACCCTCATGCAACCAGACCTCTGAAGCGGGAGAAGCCATGTAGAGACCCCTGCCAGTGCTGAGATGTTTCAAGTGCCACTGGATCCAAAGACTTTCCACCCACTGGCCTGTGATCTTCTGCATTCAGCATCATTGCATGTGTTTCATGAGTCGGAAGAGGACTTCATAGATTGGTAGCAGACATATGAGTTAATATAGGACTTATGGACTTGATCTGGACTGGGCTGGGATGTTTTCTCAATGTTCATTTGCTCTTGTATATAAATCTCTTTCTTATACACATATGTGTGTCCATGGATTTGTTTCTCTAGTCTACCCAGACTAACACAGAAGTAGCAAAACCTGGTGCTTTAATGGTGATGTGTTGGCCTGCGAGCAGCACGGTCCATAGTTCAAAACCACCAGTAGCTCTGAAAGACTGGGCTTTCTACTCCTGTAAACAATGAGTTAGCATTGACTCAACATCAATGAGAGAATTTGAGTAGCAAATCTAGAAACTTCCAAGTCGCTGAATAACAGCAAAGTGATCGAAAGTTTATGTTTCCTCCATCCCTCCCTTCCTCCTTTGCTTTCCTCTCTCTCGTCTTTCTTTTCTTCACCACAAAGGCCTAAATATAAAAATTGTATTATGTTTAGAATTAAATCATCATTTGGATTTGACCGGGTTCATACACAGTTTTAGCACCAAGTTGGTGAAA